GCCAAGGGCTATAACAACTTTTTAACTTAAATACATATAATGCTACAATCTTCTGACTCCACTGCATCTACAGAGCCACACTGTGTCACACTGTGTTAAATCACTAATCTGACTGCTGCAGTGAGTGGGTTGCTGGGAGTCTGGAGGCTGCATCCACCCAGACCACGAGGAACTCTTTTATTGTGAAACCTCAGAATGCAGGGGCAGTTTGTGTTAAAACAGGAAGCATGCATTAGAGAATTTCTTTAAGTGTAGGCTGGTCAATAGACAGCAGGCTGGAGTGTCACTTTTTTTTGCAGTTTTACTCTCAGATAGCATTCTGTGCGAAAAAACTTTAATTTTGCTTGAAGAGATTTAGATAGAGGCATGTTCAGGAAATGCGGACTTCACTCAGAACGCACAATTGCACTACGAGCAGCAGCATATTACAGCACATTAAGACTGATAAATAAGTTGTGGGATATACTGGTGAGGGTAGGATTTTAGCTCCTGTTTTGTCAGCTTGTAAAAGCTGCAATAAACCTACCTCACCCAGCTTTTAGGAGCCGCTAGCTCAGCTAAAAGAATTTCATTAGTCTGGGTTTCAGTGTAGAAATTAAGTGTCCTGTGAAAGGCTAAATGCGGCTTCAAATCTGAGTACACAACATATAGTGAACACAAAATATCTGCTATCAGCAGCACTGAATTCAATCCACAAATATTGGTATCAAAGCGCACATTGGTGGACGGATATCATGATACACAGCATGTCATGGACACATTGCAAGCTTCTCTGTACCATGACTGCATGCATTTTTAGCATGGTCAATGGCTGTCCTCCAGTAAGAAAGCTCTTATATAAGCCATCCGAAGCCTTGGCTCTAAAACAGTTACAACACACAGATCTGCATCTATTTTAAGCCTGCAGTGATTCAGCTTTCTACTTCCAAAAGATTTTCAGGAAACAAATAAAGCTGTTATGGTAATGCCAATGAAATTGCATTTATTAATTGGTTTATTGATGCTTTTGGCAGGAAGAGTGCGACACATTTTTAGATTTTGTTATTCATCTCCAAGACTCTTCCTTTAAATATAGGAGCTGGTCTGTGCACAAGCAGATTTTTGTGGGAGTGTTAGCATGGGTATGGGAAAGGGCTTCTGTGTGAGCCCTCAGGCCCCAGTGGCATTGTGGGCAATTATGAGGTCAGATATTTCTCCCACTGCCTGTGCAGAATCACATACATCTACATGTTAGCAAGAGCCGCCAGAGCAGTTCAAACCAGCCACAAAAACAACATCCCATGGTTTGCTACCCACATACACAGATATCTTCACACAGGTATACAAACACATCCGCATGAACAAACACAGAATAAATCAAGGAGGGCTGCAGAATAAACACACACATGTACACACACACTATTGTAAACTCAGCCACAGTTTATGGTGTAATTACACAGCAGAGGTAGAGACAGTGTCAGTTAATGAATCACTTCTCTATTGTGAAGTGTGAGCCTCGTGTGTGATCAGTAATATCTTGACTCCAGATGTTTTGTGGGCCTCCCCTTTCTGTCACATCTCTTTCCTTCCGTGCTCTCACACTAGATGCAACTATGTGGTTTGTAAGCGAGTGTTAGTGTGACATCTGTGATGTGTTTCATGCACAGCTACAGCCACATGTGTGCAACGTGCAGAGGACTTAAAACCGCTGAGAGTGCATAGCAAGGGGGCCTCCAACTGTAGACTGTGGAAAATACCACTATTAAACTAGTAAAAAGGCAGGATTTTTTTTTTTTATGAACTGGAGCCATTAATCATGTAGTTGTGTTGTTTGATGTCTTTTTGGCTATGAGACATTTCCATTTACACTCTTTCACACACCAGAATGCCTGATGAGTCAGGATCCCAGGCCTTTTGCAAATGTACCATGATGCTGTTCTGTAGGGTTGAGAATATAATTCAAATCAACTACGAAGAACAGGAATCAAAACACAAGGGTTTATGAGTATCGGGAAACAGATGCTGACATATCAGCTTTTCCTATTGCTTTGAAAGGTGGCTTTTTCAAAATAAATACTGATGTTCATATTCATTTGTTTCCATGTTCCTAAATCTGTGTTGGACTGACTTTGTGAGCCTGAGTGAGCCATGTACACAAAATGCAGCTATGTTGGCTTTTCACTGCAGCTCAGACTGAATAGAATCATGGCTCCACATGAGATTGCTTCTGCAGTTGAGTTTGTCTTCTTCTCAGGGTGTTACATTTGTGTTGGGAACTGTTAAGATTTTTACAAACTGATTTAAATGAAGGCTAACAGTATATTCTGGATACACAAATAAATGTTTCAATGACCGTGCTTTCTACGATGATACCTTTGACCAAAGCAAAAGTCTGTAACATTCTGCATTTTGTTGTCCTTGCCAGCCACAGTAAATGTGCTGTTAGATTTATTAACCAAAGGTTAAAGATTCTTGGGTCTTTTTTTTAATGGGGTCATGACCCAGTAAGAGTCATGGGTGCATCTGGTCACCACAATAAGGAGATTAACATAATTATGTTTTTAACGAGCTTGGGCTCCATAGCGAGAATGTCCAGATTTATTATTTACTTGATTTTAGTTTTCATTTTTCTTACTAATGTAATTTAGTTGTCTTTTTTTGAACTAGTGATGTTTTGTGTTGCATATAGTTAAGAAGGTAACTGATTATTTAATACGATTTGGCCTATCTGCAGCTTATCTGCATTAATTACTGCTGAGTTACTGGGTTACAGCTTTAAAATCTATAAGGTTCAGCCATGTCCCTCATAATGTGACCCATGTGAAGATTTAAATGTTTTAAAGGGCCCATTTCCGGTGTCAGTATGGAAGATGTGGAGCGCTGATTGGAGAGCTGTTTGACCAGTCACACAGCTGAGGGCGGCTGTTTGAAAACCAAACCTCAGTAAGAAGAAAGAAATGAAATTGGATTGAGTGTGTGTGGATTCAAGTAAACTGATGCTGGTGGTGAAGAGATAAATGTGCACTGAGCAGGCAGCTTAGAGACCCAACTGTGCACTTTTATTACAGCTGTGTCCTGGACTGCACACACACACAGGTCTAAAGATTAACATGCAGGACATCAGAAGAAAGTTCTCATGTGACTCCAGGACTTAAAACAACCATGTGAATAGGAACAGGAACAGGAATAGGAACACTCTTTTGGTAGGACATACTCCATCTCACACATATAGCCTACTGTATACACACACACACACACACACACACACACACACACACCGAGAGAGAGAGAGAGAGAGAGAGAGAGAGAGAGAGAGAGAGAGAGAGAGAGACAGACACTGTGAAACATTGGCACACTTTCCGCTAGTTTTCCCGCTCCGTTCCCCACTGACCTTGGCGGACCGGCGGGCTCCCAGTAGCGGCAGAACAGGTGCAGTCCGTCGGCGTTGACGATGTGCTGCAGGTCGGTGTAGGCGACTCCCTGCGGACTCCGCCGCGGAGCAGCTCCCGGCTCGGGCATGGAGGGGTCTGCAAAAGACACACGGAGCAGCGATAACAACACATCGCTGCCGTAGAAGTAGCAGCTGATGCCGGCGACGAGCAGGCAGGTGGCGGCGGTCACGGCGTTCATTGTTTACTGTTGTTGTTTTGTTTGTTTGTTTTTGGTGCGCGTTCCAGGCATGCGTCGAAGAAGACACGGCTTGTATCTAATCCTGCTGCACACACACACACACACACACACACACACACACACACACACACACACGCACACACACATACACACACACACACACACACACACACAGGCTGTGTTGTCAGAGCGTCCGCAACGACCGGCGTTACGTCACCAGACCATATGCTCTGCCTTCCACAAGGTCTCTCTCTCTCTCTCTCTCTCTCTCTCTCTCTCTCTCTCTCTCTCTCTCTCTCAGCCCCCACGCTCTCCACTTGCTCCCTCTCTCTCTCTATTTTTTTTTTTCAACTTTCATGAGCTTTATTAGCATGAAAAGACCGCTTATATTACTCACATTATTGCCGTTACCACGGTTGTAATTGTGATTATAATTATTACACTTGAAGTGCTGTTCTGCCAAAGGTTGTATCCTGTGATGTTTACAATAACTAAAGAGTGTAAGAAAACAACAACCAAATGGTTGACACGTTACTACACTGTTCAACGGCATTATACTATAATGAATAGAACAAACAGATCATAAAAACTAAAGAATAAAAGAATATGATCACATATAAACATATTAAACATACAAATAAGACACATTTAACTCCTGTAGGGCAATGAGGGAAAAAATAAAAACGATAGGGGTATTTATTTATTTCATTTTCACCAGATATTTGTCAATTGATATCTCCATGTTCGTGGATAAACCTGTCCCCTGTATATAAACACTGAGCTGATTTACAAACAATATCACAAAGCAAATACATTTTCATTTAGAAAAAAATATATATAAAAATCTTTCTATCCAGCTCTCTCCCCTCTACCGAACCCTGCAAAGCTACTCACACAAATAATCTGTGTGTACTCTCTTTTTCCTGCAACACTCCAGGACCTGCTCTCCCCTTCTCTCTCTCTCTCTCTCTCCCCCCCCTCTCGCATTACGCACGAGGCTTCCCTGACATCAGGTCCAGTCGGATACACAGTAAATCCAGGCTACATGGTGTTAATGGCATGTATGGCATTACAATGCAGAGGACGGTGTGTGTACTGCCTGACACACCGCCGGAGGTAAAAATAGCCCTTGTGTGAAGCTATTTCCTGAGGTGATCGGGTGTCGTCGTTAGTGACCTGACTTAGTGACTCTGAACTCGGACCTCAGTATTTCATATGCTGTAGCCAGTGATAATTTGTCAGTTTAAACATGAGTAAACTATATGGCTGTGTGTGTTGGTGAGTAGTATGGGGAATATTTAGGTTGATTCATGAAACACCTGATATCATATCTATGAATTTCTACCATTAGGAACTATTTAGCCAACGTTTTGACACCAAAATGCGTATAAACTGGTTTCTGGCCGATTTTCATCCACAATAACAGGCTACATTTCTGCTTTGCAACCAATAGCCTAATGTACGGGGAAATATGGCTCATATCAGCCGCATATGGCAGGACCATAACAGAAAACATGAATAACAGTCAAAAGTGTGCATCACACCAATAATCGTTATCACTTAACTTGTAGCAATATGTGAGCAGATCGATACTGAAGACTGCTCCAATGACATGTGTGCGCAAAAACCTCCCTTTTGTTTTCATCTCCGCTGCAATCAACCGTTTCCACCTCCATGCACATGGAAAAGACTCTACATAGCAAGCACCCAGAAAAAGAGCAAACGTTTGCAGTGCAAGTGTCTGTAATTGACATCAAAGCCTTGAATAGAAGCGACTCATCTGGTTTGACTCCTGATGTCGATGCCAGAAGCCAGTAGTAGCGCAAGATGCGCTATATCTTCAATATTATTGTTTGTGGGCTTTATGGGAAAAAAAGATGAATGGAGGAAGCCAGAGAGGATGCCGCATGTGTGAATACCACTGCAAAACTACAAGTTGCGTTGGTTAAAAGCAGAGGATAAATGGATAGTGTGCTGATGCTGGAGATTACATCCACTGGAGTGTCCATAACAAGGTCTAAACTGAGTGCCAGAGACGCACTGTTAAGTCCCTATGCAGAAATATCATAAGAATATAATGGAACCAACCTGTACAGGAGCGTCTGCAGTGAAGTTTCAGCTTCTTCTCGGACTCTAATCCCTCTCTCTCTCTCTCTCTCTCTCTCTCTCTCTCTCTCTCTCTCTCTCTCTCTCTCCCCCCCTCTCTCTCTCTCGCTTTCTCTCTCTCTCTTTATGTAGCCTATGTATGCCTCTCTCTCTCTCTCTCTCTCTCTCTCTCTCTCCGATGCTCTGCCCTCGCAAGAGAAGAGAAGAATGCAGTCAGCGACGTTTGGGGAGAAACTAAGTAAGTATTCACGTATACACCCCCTCTCTCTCTCTCTCTCTCTCTCTCTCTCTCTCTCTCTCTCTCTCTCTCACACACACACACACACACACACACACACGTTACACATTCTCCCCCAGAGGCGGAGATACAGCTCTTCTCTCGCCCCTTATGCTTAGCCTCATTTACTGTAACTCACCGTGGTTGAGTCCACATGGTTCACATTATGTACATGCCAGAGCCGCAGACGTCGGTTTATTAATAGTATCATGATACTAGTATAACCTGATGAGAGAACAATTCCTCAACTAAATGACAAGACAGGTCGTGTGTCATTTTAAAACGAGGCATGTTTTCTGATCTAGTGCTATTCATTCTGTCCTGTGTGTAAGTCACTGGAGGTGTTGGTTTGTCATTACAAAAAATATTAATATGGCTGTTGACTATTCATGTCTGGTTAGGTTTAAGGAAGTAAAACTGCTTGGTTAAAACAGTATTAATAGATTTTTTTGGCCACTTGGTGGCAAGGGAACAAATAGTAAACACAATATTTACATTACATACAATAGAATATACTTTAATGTGCCCATAGGGAAATTTGTTTTGGACCCAGTCCTGCAGTTTTACAGAAGATTACCCTACAATTAAAAAAAAAAAAAAACAATAAACAAAACAAAAACAAACATCAGTATCTCAGCAACCTACAGCTTCCCAATAACAGTATCTACATGCCAATACCATACACACACACACACACACACACACACACACACCTACTCACACCTTCTGACAACAGCGACATATTGCACAACCCTCATGGCCAACATCCTATTCAACCCGTTTGAGTTAAGGTTCTTAATGGACGTAGGCAGGAATGTTTGTTGTTTCGGTTCAGCCTGCTCTGGGGAAGCTGGAACTCTGGATGGAAAATGTGGGTTGGATCAGAAACTATTTTCTTTGCCTGTCTGATAATGGATTGCTCATACATTGTTTGACCCCCATAATCTTCATAGGAAGAGCATTATATTACCTTTTTTATGTGCTGAGAAAAATACCTTTCTCCGTTGGTAATCTTGTCTCTCTGCATGTGGTGCTGGGTGGGTGTCCAGTGGGTTTGTCAGAGCTTTTACACTCATTTACACCTGTAAATGAGGTCGATGACAGCGGTGAACCAGAACGGTAATGAGTCCAAAGACGCTAAAATGAACCTCAGAGCTGAGGGATAATTCTGTAGTTTGTCACCAACGTCTTTCAGATTGTTTAAGCAATGTTCCAAGTAACATATAATACCTTTACTGGAAAATGTGTTTGTTTTGTAACAACTAAATGATTCAGAGTGTTCCTGTTCCGATTCTGACTCATTATACCTAGTTTTAGTTAACAGAGGATTGTTGTGGTTGCAAATCTTTGTGGTGGAAATTAATCTCTTCCCACTTCTCTAACTGCTAACAGACACACACTCAGAAAAACAGACTATTTCTTTTCTCTAAAAATTACACAACCACCAAGGAGGATCAATTGAAATCATGTTTGAATCATGTTTTTGTTCTTATTTCCATGTGTGACTTTAAACTGTAAAAAGAAAATTCACGATCAAAACATGGTGGATTGTATCTGTAAATATGCAGGTTCTTAAGTGACTGAGGGCTAGATGGGTGAACAAAATGATACACAATGCATTGCGTAGGGACTCCTGTTGTGGTTATGGGTTTGATTCCAATGTCCTTACTGTTATAATGAACATCTGCAACATGTGGCAGACGAATTGAAACTGTCTCAGAGAACAACTCCTTATTCAGTATAAACAAATTCACTGAACACGTCTGTAGATAAACATGGTGTAGACCAGTGAGACAGGAAAAGGGAACACCCTTCATCCCTATCTGAGGCATCAGTTTCATCAGTCCAGATATTTTGAGAGGTATTTTGAGAATTCCTGTCATTGCATAACCACATCAAAATGTCTTCCTTGGTTCTTATCAGAACTCTCTGTGTTTGCAAAGGAAATGAACAAAGAGGAGCATTTGAGTAAGTAAAATAAGATTTATTTTTCATGTAAGTACATGGATATTGGCAGATTTTTAAATAAACCATGCATGCAGGTATTTATGTTTCTTAGTGATTAAAAGGCTTAAATAACTTCATTGTCAAACATGGCATTCAAAGTTGGCTAAAAATACATCACAGACAAATGTCAATCAATATTAATATGCTTTAATTGCCTGTTTGTATGTTTGTGTTGCTTTTCTATGACTTGTGTGTGTGTGTGTGTGTGTGTGTGTGTGTGTGGCACTGCATTTTACTGTGCAACTTCATATGTGTAGTCTGTTTCTTTACATTCTGTTGTTTTTGGCTTCATGTATTGTGTTTTTTACAACGTGTGTGTGTGTGTGTGTGTGTGTGTGTGTGTGTTTCTGACAGACGATTGATCCAGTTCTCTGAGGCTCGCTGGATAAAATCCTCATATAGACAGAGTGTCTGGCACTTCTTCATAATATGTCGTTCCTCTCAGGGCTCAGAAATGTGTTGCTGTGATCTCCTGTGAAACAGAAGGACAGGAGAGATCAAAAACAGAGAAGAAGAACCAAGGAGAGAAGAACAGAGATACCAAGTGGGACAGAAAATGGGAAGAGACAACTACCTGTTTTCAAAATATGTGCCAGATTTTTATTTTCTCTCCAGTGGCATGAAAGCCTCAGGTTAATGAAGAGGAACAGAAGTGTAAAACATTTTTCACAGCATGCCACATTCTCAGAAATGTGAAACTATTTTAAATCTGATGTCTCCACTTTTCACCATGTGGATTCATTCACTGCATTATTTTATACTTTTATACTATACTTTTATACTCTGATGGGCCTCTGGGGTGAATGTAAGGCTCTACTTGCTTTCTAAAATGCTGAAATGCTTCTGTCTCGCTTTCATGCCGATAAAGATTACTTAATTGAATGAAATTAAATACATTTGAAACGGAGATACAGTAAAGGCCAGATCAAATAGCAAACCAACGTCTTGCTTTTCTGAAAACCTCCATCTCATGTATTTGCCATGTGAAATATATTCATACAGTATGAGCTGTATATATAAAGTGTGTATGCATGCATATATTCATTAATTCACACATAACTGCATGCATGTTACAATTTATGTGTGTTCTTGTTCTGTGCACAGTTCCCTTGACCAACCTCATCCTCTTTCATCTTACCATCCACTCTCTTACATGGTCTGTACTTTTTGTGTGTGTGTGTGTGTGTGTGTGTGTGTGTGTGTGTGTGTGTGTCAGCGCTCCCACGAAAAGACTTTGATCCTGTGAACTCTATTTCATGGACAAGTGCCATGTCTGTGTTCTTTGTTAGATTTCTCCTATGGGAGCAGAAACATAAAGTCACGTAACACGAACAGGAAAAAAAAAACAATAGCACATTTGCTGATGTGCGGACATGCATGCAAGCACAGGTGTATAAATAAGATTAACACACACACAATGCCCATGTGTTAAAGCAGTCTGTAATTTGCCTTCAGACAGATCAATGGTGTGTGCTGGGATGAGGAGTATTTCTGATGCATATACAAAATGTTGTTTAGAAATGTGTTTTTAACTGTATGAAAAAATGTAAGGGATTTGCATCTAAATATATTAAAATACATAAACTCACACAAACATACAAATATGATATTAGAAACAGTGAAAATACCAATTTCAACCATCCTCCAACCATCTTATGCTGTGCAATCAATTTTAATTCCAGGTCACACTGTTTGGACAGACTAGGGATCAATGAACCAATCGAGAATCAACAGCGAAATCATTGTCCATTAAGACTATGTATAATGTGAAAGGGGGTCGCTCAGAGTGACAAATCCACAGAGAATTATCACATGACTGCATTTTCCCTCAGCTCAATGGAGCCTCTTTTAACTTACTGTTTGGTTTTATGACCAACTTTAATTCACTGATTCACTTCAACCTCATCAGTGTCATTTTCTGCCGCAGTCGGGACCTATTTTAATTGAAAAATCTCTACAAAAAAATATCTGGCTGCTATCTGTCAACTAGCTGGTGAACAAACAGTTAAAAGGAGAATGAATACTGTCCTTTAATTCATCACAACTCTAAACGAGAGATAATTTTTCTCCGTATCCACCCGATAAATTGACAACTGTTTGCTAACACATTCGCCATGTGAAATTAACATAAGATGATAAACATTTACAACAATGGCTACAACCGTACAGTATTTTATGACCTCCTCTTGAGACTCCTTCATCAAGTAACATTGAGTTCATCACTAAAAGTAAACTTCCATACTTCAGCACGCTATGTGATGTTCTTTGTTTGAGTGCGAGTATCACCTTATCTTGGCTTAGTTTTCTGGAGGACTGACAGTGCAAAACGGCATCATGGACGGTGTAGAAGAGACAGGACTTTGTCACTTTTTCATTAAAGAAACCTCCAGTCTGCAGGTTGTCCACCACACCAGCTAGAGAGAGAGGGAGAAAGAGAGGGAACAATGAGCATGTCAATGCAGGAGGACAAGAAATGGAGTGAAAAAAAGTGGAAGAAACAGAGAGAAAGGGACGTAGTTTAATATTTGAAGTAGGGGAAATAAAATGGACCAAAATATAAATAAGAGACAGAGAGAGGGGGATGGGGGTGGGAGGCGTAGTCCTTAATTGAACCTCGTTATAATTCCTGACTATATACATTTCCTTAGCAGTCCCTTTGCGAGCCCAAAGGCTCAGAATAAACTATTTATCTTTCTACAGGCTATACGCCCAGTATGGGCTAATTAAAGCCTCTGATTCTCTGAAATAAATTGGGTGGCTTCTTACATTGTGTTTTCTACTCCCCTGGGGACCCACATTTTTCCATCCAGCAAGTCAGTCAGAGAGTAGATGCCTTATTACAGTAAAAACAAAAACCGGCCCACCATATTTTTTCTTTAGCTTTCCTCAGGACTCATTATTGCATATCATACCAGACTGGAAAAGTATTTTTCTGGAGAACATTCCAGCTATTGACTGAACGACTTCCTTCATAGAAACGTTACAATAACATCAGCAAACAGCTAAAACAACATCTGATATTGTTGAACGGATTCAGATTGTGTGTGGCTGAGTGGGTCTGGATGTGTGTTCCAGTATATGGGACAAAAAATCCCAGTGGGCATCTCTGACGATGGAATAAGTTCTAGATTAAAAGTTTATTTTATAACAGAAAGGCAAATAGAGTTCTGAGTGAATCAACCCACAGATACATATAAAACACCAATATAATCATATGAACAGCTGTAAATGGTTACATAGCGGCACTGACGTTGATCTCCAAGAGATTTTTAACTTTTCTGATTCATTTTATTTTTTAAACATTGTTTGAAAGTCTAATCTGTCAATTCGGTACTATTATTTTCTAGTAGGGACTTACTCTGGCAGCCAGCAAGAAGCACCTCTACACCAATTTCTTCGTAGTCATTCCGGATCTAAAACAGACACAGAAGCACAGAGCAAAGGTCACACTGGGGATCATTTAATTAGTCTGACAATTCAATTTAAAGTAATTGGATGCCTGTGGAGCTAAATGATTAGGAAAGGAGGGATGAATGAAGGATATATTTTGTCTTTTAACAGGAAGAAATGCATGCGGCAAAGATAAAAAGATCTGAATCAGTCATCTTTATTCTCCTAGGGCCAGTTACTTATCTAAGTTTTAGAGGGGGAATTCCTTATTAGCTATCAACTGTCTTTTTGTTCTTTAAAAAATGTGTTTGGATCCATTTTAGAGGAAAATAATGTAAATTGAACCTGTTAATTTTGATGAAATATTAGATCAGAACAATGAACTAACTAATGCAGACAAATGCACATATACACAACGATGAATTCTTAATATGTACAACTTACTTCACCCTGGACTGAGTATTTTCCCTCTCTCTCTTTTTATATACGGGTGTCTACATGTGTAAATGTGACTGCCATATCCATACCCTGCGTAGCGTCTTGACTCCCACAGTATCCAGGAAGTTAACAGGGCTGAGGTCGAGGATGATGGCTCTGGGGAGTGAGGGGTCGTGCTCAGCATCGATCTCAATGATGGCAATGTCCTTCTCCTCCTTCTCTGGCTCCCCCTTTTGTACAGGAGGAGACATGACATAGTGCATATTAATACCCTGTATATGTATTGACTCCCACAGTATCATGAGAGGTTAGTCAATGTAAAATGTTTAGACGATGAATCACAATCAAAGGTTATTCCAGAATTAGGAATTCAAATGACCATCAAGCTTCAGACATAGTAATGTGTCAATGTTTCAATCAAGCTCAGTAACAAAAAGCTTCATCATTTACGGTAAATATCATGTCTCTGGTCACCTTCCCCGGGTCAACTGCGTTGTTCTTGGCAGCTTTCTTGGCTTTCTTGGCATTTTTCTTTTCATGCCTCTTCCTTTTGGCCTCTAGTTTCTTCTTGGCTGACAGGATCTTGGTAATGTTAAAGCCAGACTAAAAAAAACAGCGAAAGACAATCACACATTGTAACAGTGAGGTTCACATTGATTTTATACAGCCAGTCAAATATTCCTCCTCCTGAGGTATTCATTAAGGCTGTGATAAGCCATTGTTTTACTTATTTTATTCATCTGCTCCTCCTTTTATATTAGGCAAAAAACTTCTGATTTTAAATTGCACCAATTCTTTATAACACACGAGAGATGAGTGCTTCAGCTGGTATCATATACAGTATGTACTTCACCACATATTTGTCCTATATAGTTCTGCAACTGGTAATGTAATGCAATAAGCTAAATATTTTTAACAACAAACCATTTAAAGCTTATGGAATGGAAACTATAGATCTCTTTCTCATTATGGTTATTGTTTATAGCTGTTGTAATATTACCAGGTCAAGCTCATTACCCGTCATAGTAACGTAAATGTTTATTTTAGCCAGTTTAGCCAGTTCAGTCAGTCCAACTAGACTGGGTGAGGCAGGTGTGACGGGCGTGAATGGTGTGCATAAGACACAACCACAGGGCATTGCAAGAAGGCTAATTATAGTAAAGTCTTCCTTTCTTTGTGCTTTTGCTCGAGGGTTCTAATAAACATAAAATGAACTATGAGAGTTTGCTTTCCTATATTAAACAACTAAAGAACATAAGTTAACACAACTTTCTCAGGCTACATCCTCACTACAACATTTGACATTTTAAAATGCTCAAGGCCCTTCAAACAGAGATATTTGGAAACACTGCTGACTCCATTGTAGTTTGAAAACTCCACAGCAGTGTTTTCTGGATGGACAGAAACGGCAGCCTTTGCACTGATAGGCTTTAGTGCTGTTAAAATATACATGACATACACACCAAAATCTCTAACAGCTCCAGTCTGGTCAAGAATTTGATTCATAGCTAAGTTACTGTAGATGACTCATTAAAGCATCCCATTTGTAATTAAATCATATTCAGATAAAGCATGTTGAACGTGTCTAGAAAACACCATTGGCATTGAGCAACGACTAATGAGCAACCGGGAAATGGAAATGCAGAGAAAGATTTTAACAATCATCAGTCAGCAAAGGCCAATCGGATTTCATTGTTTGTTTTTGTGATTTGTGATATATTTTTCCATGAATAAAATGTCTGCCTGGCAATTGTAAAGTGGATCAGAATTTGATTAGAGCCATTCAAGTCTTCCTAGTTCTCCAAATCAAAACTGCTAGCAATTAGCATCTCAAAAACACTACTTAGCCGTTTGTAGGATATTTTACCTCATCATTATACTATTTCATTGTCTGACAGGAAAGACAATTCATGCAAAAACATGATTTGCCTTTAAAAACTTTTCTTGCAGCATGACATCACCACTAGTTGATACAATTATATCCCCTTACATAAGTGCAACCCATCAGCTTAGTTGCTGCCAGTGAGAAGCGGTAAGTGGTCCCAGATTTCCTCTAGTTCATGGAAAATAATCCCCAACTTCAACTCATCTGCATGCCACAGTGACTGGTAGAGTAGAAACACTATCACCAGAATTCATCTGGTGGCAATTTCTCACCTTGTAAACAAACGTGCAGCCTCTGCCAGTCAACAACAGCTCTATGAAAGCTTATTTGTGCATCAAAGATTAGAAAGAAAAGAGAGCGACCCAGTGGCTTTGACATGCTGACATTTGAATGAATGAGACGTTCTATTATCTCCCTCCCTTATTCAATCTATGCTTCTCACCCTCCCTCCATCTTTTGTCATCCTCTTTCTACCTTCCCTCAATCTGTCTTCCCATTTGCCCCCAAAGAGACGTGACAGAAGAGGAGGAGGAAGAAAGGGGGGAGAGAGGAGAAGGACGGGAGAGTTTAAACAAAAGTTTAACAGAAGAAAAGGAGAGGAGAAAATGGTGAGATGACATTTGGAACAATGTCTGTCATGATTGTGATGTGTGAATTGGTGAAATGTCAGGTCAGTTATTAGTGTGTCAGAAATAATGTTTGTAAGAGAGGAGTTAATTGCACGTAAATTGTGACAAGGGGGATTGTTGCTGGTGTAAGTAGTTTCTTTTTCTGTGTGTAGCTGCAGTGTGTGTAGTGTATGTTCATATAAATCTGGGCTTGTGTGTCCATCACAATTTGTTTGGATGTTTGATACTGCTTTTTTTTTTGGGAGGGGGGGCGTCCATATTAATATATTAATACCATTAATATTCCTGTGTGTGTTTGTCTTCTGGTGCCTGCACTATCTTTGTGAGGACGCATTTAACTTTTAGACCTTGAGCGTGAGAACATTTTTGATTTTGTTAAGATATTTTGTCGGTCCTCACTACTTTAAAGAGCAGTTTGAGGGTTAAAACCTGGTTGAAGTGTGAGGTTAAACGTGTGTGTGTGTGTGTGTGTGTGTGTGTGTGTGTGTGTGTGTGTGTGTGTGTGTGTGTGTCCTCACCTTCTTTGCAAGGGCATCCTGGTACATCTCAGCATTAGCAAAGTAGAGGGTGGCAGAGGAATGGAAGATCAAAATCCCTGGTACCTGCCTCACCTGAAATCAATTGGTCAGTTAATCAATTAAACAGGCAAATAAATCACTACATTTCCAATACTTTCATAACTGACAAAAACATTTTTAAGCAGACACCTGGGCACTATAGGTCATAACAGATGTTCATAATATCACAGCAGAGCTACAATGTCAAATCAGCTGAGGAAAGTAGAAGCTTTGTTCATTCACTTATAGTTGGAGGTAATTTAAAGGAAGAAATGTTTCATCCCCAACCTCAGTGTTTATCTACGAAGATAAGAAGGAGACCATCTACAGCCACTCTAGCGGCTCTGTGAGGCTGTACTGGTGGTGATTTGAATGAACATGAATTGAACATGCTCACAGTGACAATGCTAACATGCTGATGTTTAGCAACAATGTTTACCACTGTCACCATTTTAGTTTAGGGTGCTAACGTTTGCTAGCTGAGGTTGATGGGAATGTCATCAGTGTAACAGGTATTCAAATTTTACATGATGATGGCACCAGATGGAAACATCTTGGCTTTCATACATAGCACACACTGACTGTCAAATGATGGAACTATGAAACTGAAGTTATGAGCCAGTTAACTAGGGTTGTACCAATATTGTACAAATAAATTATTTCTCTCAGTTGTATTGTCTTATTAATTGTTCGAAATGTTGGTATGTAATGTGACGTTAATGGGTATGTGATTAGCCAATCACATATTTAAGTCTGGACAATGGGACGAGCTAAGTTTAAAGTGAAAATAAAAGCAATAACCTTTCACACTGTATCAGTAGGGAATGCAAGTGTGAGGTCGAGTGTTGGTTGGGAAGCGGAGTGCAGTGTGGTCTCACATAACTCCCATAAACATCTCTATATTTGACTCTGCCTATAATGTCAGGGACAAGGGGGGGGCAGGTGTGCTTTATAAACTGCTCACCTCAAAGACCCTACTGACAGTATGCATTATCTCTGATTATTCTGTTCATCTCCAGACCAGCGCTCATCCTCACTCCTGCTTTCAGGCTATTTATATATAATGTGCCATACCTGATTGTAGTCCTCCAGTGGCCTGTAAATGTCAGTGTCTGGGACCTGCCCTAATAGAGAGTATTGAGGTCTGGAATACAAAACAAAACAAAACAAGTAAGTGTATGAACAATTTGTAATGCTTTGTGTTTAGGTCTAAAAGATAGTTTCAGGGTGTGTCAACTTGACACACACTCCCACTGAACATGTGTGTGTGTTTATTTGTGTATAATTGTGGGTCCCGCGGCAATGTATTCCTACAGCTGTGTCCTGAAGATGACGGTGAGCATGGAGAATCCGATAGAAGCAGCCAGTCCCAGGTCGGGGTTGAACAACACGGTGAGGATGAAGGTGACTACCCAGACCACCTGGAGATAGAGGAAGGCAGCGATGATGAGTAATGCAGCAATGCATAGTAAAACAAAAGAAGTCTGGCAAGCTTTAGATGTATCACTCACTACACAGTGATAATGCAACTTTGCTTTTCTTAGACGCTTACCAGTAACAGATTGCGACACCACAGGAAAGGCCACGCTGTTACCTAATTCCTCAGTGCAGCATCACTTTAAGCTCATTTGTCAGCCTAAGGTGATATGAACTTGCTGCACACACACATTGTGTAAGCAGAAAGGGAGGAACAGGAAAACCTCCAATTTTTCCAAATCGTGAGTGTTGCTGTATTTTTCATACGGGTTTCACTTCATTTATCCACTTTGTTAGCCTTGTTGACACTAGCATAACTAAGCTAACTAGCTATTTGTCTTGTGTTCTAGCCTATTTCCAACAATTTGTTAACAAGTGAAACATGGCAAACCAAAGAAACATTTTTAATTAATATTTCATTTTCTATTATTTTATTGTAGGCTATCTAGTGATGATGGCTTTGCAGCCAATTTGCCACTAGTTTGCACAATTCTGTGGTTGTTGTCAAGAGATAGCAGTCAGAAACTCACAATATCTTCAACTCTGACGTACCACCAGAAAGTGTATGTAAACAGTTTTTCCCATTTGGCTGCTTGTAATCACTTGTAATTTATTCATTCATTCATTCATTCATTTACAAACAAAAAAAATCATTCATTCACATAAGAGGTAGTTGACGTGGTAACGTTAAGCATAGATACAGTTAAGATCCAGTTAGCATGTTATCATGCATGTATGTAACATGCTTTTGTAACATATTAACATTTGTGAGTCAGAATACCACAGTATGTTAGCAATAATCTCAAGAACAGTTGAGGATGACACGAAATTATTATTAGATTTAGGTGTATCCTGTGCTGGAGAATTTTTCATGAAGTAACATTACTGTACAGGCTGTTTCACAAATAGCTTGCACTTCAACGTCAGTACAGCACATTTTTAATTACAGTTTGAATGAATATATCAAACCAAAACACGAACCAATTCCTTGTATACTGTATAGTAAACTCACCATGTCTACTTTGTTGCTCTTCCAGAGTGCAGGGATGTCCATGAATTGCTTCATCATGCCATGGAGGTTGACGAAGATGATGGCGGCCAGCACTGCCTGCAAAGTGAGTCACATATAATACAGTTTACACGGTGAGCTCCGGTTTTGAGGCTTAAAACATGAAGGTGAGTTAGCTCATTTGAGATAAACCTTTCATGTACTCAGGTTTTGGAACTTTTATATGCTCTATTAACAGGCTGCAAACAAATTTTAAAATCATAACTCTGCTTTATAGACTCTTTTTCTGTTTTCAGCTAAATTAGTTAATTCAATGTAATTAACGAATTGCCCCTGATGTTTTAACTATTTGTTTTTATAAATAGCCAGTAGCTTTAGACTGGAGCTGATCTGTGGTGGCATTATGGGAACACAACCTCAGCTGTTCACTTTGGCTGAGTGCTGAGGACGGCTTATAACTTTGCAAACACATTCACACTCAGACTTGGACACATGTGTATGCTTATGTTGGTGCACAGATGTGAACACATGCAAACACCCGTACCCGCGGCCCCACACACACACACACACACACACACACACACACACACACACACACACACACACAGTACCTTTGGCAAATCTTCAAAGAGAGCTCCAATCCAGAGTGTGATGAAAAGGATAACTATTGCTGATAGAGCCCCAGCAACCTGCAGTGAAGAGAGAGTGAAGATAGAGGCATGATGAATGGAAATCAGGAGAGAGAGATCAGAGGAAGAAAAACCACAGAAAAAATGAGTGATGTAGTGGTTATTAGATTGAATTGGTACATGATTATGAGAGGAGTCAAGGCATCATCAGTTAAAGCCTCTCCTCTCCTCTGTAATGGGCCTTAGCTGATTAATGGTGTTGTCAGACTAAATCGGTTTAGCCTTTCAGCAAATCTGTGTTTGTGTAGGTGGACGATGTGAGTGAAAATCGATTCCCTAAGTGTTTTTTAATGATGCCACTTATCAGAGTAACATTAATTATGACCAGCTCATCACTCCGTTTAACCTTTAAGATTCTCCAGGTTTGTGGCTACAGGCAGAGTGAAGTGAAAACACAGATATAAATAAAATTATCAAATGAAATGTCTTGTCAAGTTTAAAAAATGCCAAGCATGAAATCAAATAAACATTTCCCTTAATGTTCTTTTTAAATACTTTTCAGTTGTGTGAACTAAAGACAGGAGAAGCAACAAATATCATGCAAATTAAATTAAAAAAACAAAAAACATTTACAACATTTGTAAAAACACTTTATAGTTGTGCATCACAGGATGCTAATTGAAAAAAAGCAGCTTAACAGGTGTAAGAATGTGTGGATTTTGTTTTCACGTCAGGTGTGTGATTTTGTAATATGTGTTGATTTTCTTTTTTAGGGCAAATCAGTATTAACATTAATGCAGTAGACATTTTAAGGTTAAATATGAGGAGCTAAGTGATTTATTTATTTCTTTTTATGTTTATTTACATCTTCAGTGATTTAAGTATTATACTTATTATTCCATTTTGGCCAAAATATAGATTTTGATCTCCAGCAATCATCCTGGTTAAAGGGTAAGTTTTCTTTAATGACAAAAAAACTTTTTCTCACTAATTGATACAGCCATGCAGATTGTTTTGGTTTTTTTTTTCTGCATGGATACTGGGAGGGGTAAGTGAAAAAATCTGTTTTTGTTTTGTAATTTGTGTGAACTGACCCTTTAAAAGCAAATTACCGTACTCACTTTGTTTTTGTTTGTGATCTACTTTGCTCACTGATTCCTAAAATCATAATAAATGCACTCATATCTTAACCTGCCTGCACACAGAGATTCACAGACCCACAATCTATTGCTCAAGGGCACTTAAGCAGAATAATGTCCACTCACGCCAACCTAGTCTTGCAATACCATCTCAGCACCTACCAACCGTCTGGGGGTTTCTAAATGCAGAGTAGTTGTTTGAATGGCTAAAAAACACACGCCCCTTATTTCAAGGACATGCCTTCCCCCGTCTCTCTTCATTCTCCTCCTTAGTAAAACAAACTGGATATATACTGAATCACTTCGTAACATGGAGATAGTATTAAAAATATTAAAAAATGCATGTCCCAAACACAACTTCCATGTGTCATTCAATTGTCAGATTTTTTTTAAAACTCTCTAATTGCTGTTCTACACAAAAAATCTTGAGTCTCCACTGAGTGAAGCATTTAGAAACTGGCTTGTGAGTCTAATACCAACCTGAGTCTTCCCTCCTGTGCTCTCCTGAACCATAGTGCGAGACATGGAGCAGCTGATGGCAAAACACTGGAAGAATCCTCCGACGGAGTTACTCAGACCCAAAGCGATTAGTTCCTAAACCATGAAAAAAAACACTATTTATATACAGGATATCAACCTCAAAAGAGCAGCTCATCCTTGATTCCATCTTTCACCTCCCCACCTGGTTGCTGTCCACACTGTATCCATATTTCAGGGCAAAGATTCGTCCCAGTGAGATGGCGATGCCGTAGCCAACCACAGCCAGGGCGAAGGCATCTCCAATCACCTGACCAAACAGAGACACAGCTGGGAGAGCAGGTGGCTGGAGACTGGTAGACATGGACAGAGTAGTATACATCGGCCATTAAAAATACAAACACTTTTCATATGTGTCCACACACATTCCTTCATGTTAGCGTTTCTCACCCTGAGGGAATCAGTCCTACCACATCCACTCCATATTTCCCATTCAAGTCAACTTGCCAGGAAACTACTGTAGCAATGACAATCTGGAAAAACAGATTATAAGAGATGTATCAGTGGGCATGTGTGTGTATTTGTAAGGAACTAACTGTAATATTATAAGTGCATATGTTTATTTCTGTATACTCACACCAAGCAGCTCCACAGGTATAGGAATAGGTAGTTTTTTACTCAAGTATGCATTGAGCTCCTTAGCGAGGATGAGACCGATTATAGCGACGATGCTGACCACAAGAGTGCCAACATTGGTTTGTGGAAGAAGATAACACACCTCCAACACAGTCTAAAAGGAAATAATAATTATTGCTTAAATGATTATATGAGGAAGTGTGAGAGAAATAAGTTGTAAAATTATGCATTTATACAAGAAAATACAATGCAATTTTAGATTCTTGTCCATCACTGAGAAGACTGTCACCTCTACTGGCTGTAATCATAAGGTGGAAGCTAATGTCTCAACCATGGCATCATTTGTCACGAGGCTTTTATATTATGGAGATAAAAGCAGGCATTTAAAAAGGTCAGTGGGGGTGACTGATGACGCAGACTGGAAGAGGTGTTCGATTAAAGCGAACAGAGGAGAGCATTTTATTTTCAGCACAAGTTTGAGTGTTAACAGAAATCTCTCCGGACTGCTGGACTAATCCAAAATACAAACATTTAGAAATAATTATTAGTTTGAAAAGTTTCAAACTACATAGAAGCAAGCCGGTGTTAAGGACAGTGCTGTGTTCTTACATATATCAGTGAGAAGGGTCCACTGTGTCTCACGGGGCTGATGCCAAAAGTGTATTTGAGCTGGGACACGATGACGTGGATGGCAGCTCCTGTGGTGTAACCTCGGACCAGCGGCTCAGACAAGTAGGTCACGACAAAACCAAACTGGACTAAACCGAGCACAATCTACATACATAACACACAGAATGAAAAACACACGGAGATTGACATCACAGTTTTTCTCGATTGCTAAGACACCCTTAATGAAACTGGGATCCACTTGATTTTCATCATCACCTTCTCTTGCAAATGTGTTACAGTCACACTTCTTCATTGGTTTCACATATTTTTCACACCCTTTTTCAAAACATTTAACACAGACCTTATAGAAAGACCCAAAACTCTATTAGAATAACAGTATTAAACAAAGGGAAAATATCTATTTACAGCAAATAGAATCACTGAACAGAAAGGACCTGTATTCGGAAAGATCTAATGGTATCCAAGTTTATGGAAATGTATCCAGATCGGTATATCATAGCATATCATATAAAAATATGTGATACATGTGCATATGGACAGTGTCTGTCCAGCCAAAATGAATGGCAAATAAAATTAAGGTGAGTATTTGTGAAGTTCATTATTGGATCTTTGGTCAAAAGCACAAAAGCTGTACAAAATGTACAGCAGTAGGCGCTTACTGTAGGTTTTATAATAATCAATTATTTTTCCATTGATGGTGATAATGGGACATCTGTCCATCCAACTACAGACCAGATTTTTACTTCTACACAAGAATATATTTGATATGTGAGTTTACCTGAAATAATCCAGATATGAAGGTGACGGCTGCAGCCACTCTGACTCTCTCAGCATCCCGGGAAGTGACATCAATTATACTGGAGTTGGTCTCATTGTCCCATATCATAAAATTTGAGTCTGGCGCTAATCGTTCTATCACCCCTCCTATCATTACACTCATTACCGCATATGTTCCTGGAGAAGAGAGATAGAAACATAAACATATAACAACATATTGGATATTTTTAACCTGAAAAACCCATTTTTTACTCAGCTTTTTACTGATGGGGTCACATAAATAAATGTGTAATAAATTTCTGCCAAAGCAAGACATTTTGTAACCATATTGGTTATTTTACATTTTTGTTTTGTCTGCACCCTTCTCACTGATTTGACATCTTTTGGAAGGTTATGCTGCATATTTCCACCTACAAATCAGCAATGAATAATAAAAGAAAAGGAGTTGTAAAGTTGGTTGAGCAATTTCAGGATGCATATGCATATGTACAAAATATTAACAAGTGTGTCAGAAAATATCTGGTTCTTCTTGATCTAAAGCTACAACCTGTATACATGATAACTTTGGGGAAGTTTGAATTTGCTACCACTCTGGTTCGCCCCTGTGATTGGCTTCTTCTCCAGAGGCTCAGCGGTATTGTAATGTTTGAACCAGTTCGCCATGCCAAACTGACAACAAAACACAATTTCTCAGGAACATAGTTGAAATAATTGGCCATTACATAAACTACTTATCTTATCTGCGTTATAGTCCTGTGTTTCTATGTTAAGTAACCTTAAGGATTTGTTCAAAGAAATAGAAAAAGCAGCTCCTTCACATCGCTAGATTCCAGGCTCGGAGAGTAATAGATTACATGTAACTGAGTTACGTAATCAGGATTTTAAAAAAGGTAACTGTAATCCATTACAGTTACAGAATAAAAAACATCAGATTACATTTAGTATAAATCTAGATTTTTTGCAGGATTACAATTTTGAAATACATCAGTTTTTCTTTAAAAATACACTGAGCAGAGGACACATTGCTGATGCTAAAAATCTTTCCATTTTCTAAATTATTTATTTTCTCCTGTTTTTATTTGCATATTTAGTGTTGAGGTTATCCAAAAGTAGTGGAAAGTAATCAAGTTATGTTACTTTAATATTGTGATACTTTGATTAGATTACAGACTACATTTCTTTAACAGGTAATTGGTTACTGTGTGTGTAAGTAACACTCCCAACCCTGCTGGATTCAGTATCTGATTAATATTCAGAGAAAATAATAAGTTTGAGACCAGGTTTTCAAATGTTTTAAAAGCAAGCGCAGCAAAGATTTTGGATTGATTTTAAAATGACTTTACATTCAGTGATCAATATAAAAGAACATAGATGGGGATATTATAGATCAGAGAGGATGAAAAAGTATTGTGTCAGTCTGTTAGTATAGCCTGCTGTATCACTATTACCACAACCTTGCAGTGGATTTCCATTTGACAAAATGTCTAAAGATACAGCAAGTGATAAAATACAAACCAATTGAGATGTGCTTGGATGTGCCGAAGATGAAGTAGATGAGGACTGGGTAGAAGGAAGAGTAAAGGCCAAAGACTGGAGGAACAGCTGCTAGCAAAGCATAGGCCATACCTAAAGGGATAGCAGAGTATAAATATCGTAACAGTAATGATTAGAAAACAGCTAAGACAAATACTGAGCAGGGTAATGTGAAGAAACACTACATGAACAACCTGCAGATTATAATTTAGAATAAACAAATTATAACCCCATTTGTTCCTCTAGCTCTTCTACCTGATCATCCCTCACTAAATCTCTACTGTATCTCCTGATACTCCCAATCTTCTAGATTCAGTACTTGAGTAACGCACCCTGCGGCAGCTGCATGATCCCCACACTGATTCCAGAGATCAGGTCACCCAGGGCATTTTCTCTGATGGAGTATCGAGGCAGCCACGATACAACAGGAACAGTACCCAAGAGGCAGTTCTTCAACCTGGGACCAGAACACCTGATTTTGTGTGTCAGTCAGAGAGAAAGAAGAAACAGATTTCAACTAAACTGTGTATCACTTTTTATTGTTTTCAATGAGCAGATCTTTCAGATTCAATGAATTGTTTCTCACTCAAACTCTCAACAACCACCAAAACTCTACTACATACTGCTGTCAAAACAACATAACACATAACACAAAATTACTGTAAATTAGACTGCAATTTGCTACATCTCCATCTAAAATAAAGAAAAATGTTCAAGGTAAGGATAGAGGACAAGTGAGGTAGAATCCAGAATGTTTTGTAATTGTATGGGATGATGTGGCATTTCACTGCTCCCTTCGAATCAATCCCAGGATTGTCACTTTTCCTTCCACTTTACTCTCAATTCCTCAACCCCACAGGGGAAATCTATTCACACTCTAGTCACGTCAACAGATGTCCTTCTTGGATGCAATAAATGCTGGATTACTGAATGTATTTGCAGATGATTGCCAGGAATGAATCAGGGTATGCAAAAGATTCTTTCCCAGGTGTATTAGAAAAGAGGACATGAGGACAGGTGTGATGTGGATGTAAACTTGATAAATACAGTAAATAAATAAATAATACTTTTACAAGACAAAAGTGATACATATCTAATGCTACCTACTGATGATTTTTATGGTCATCATATAATGAGTGAAACAGCGTCACTATTGACTATGTCAACTATGACATATAACTGTGCTGAGCTGCATGTTGGTAAAGAGAACTATAGGAAGTTTTTAAAAAGGGAACTCAGAATGGAAAAATTGGAGTTTGCAATCGTTATTTCCTTATGTTATTGTTAAAGAACTCACTAAACGGTGTTCTTACATCTTGAAAGACATGAATTGCTGCTTTTGATGTCAGACGTGAATGTGGTCTTTACCCCATTTGTGTAGCTCTGTTTTTATCTCTACGTAATTCAACATTGATAAAAGTACTTTTATGTACTTATTTATTCACTTAATACTTGTATTAAGTGTATTAAGTGAAAACTGTTCTTTTGATTTATCAGTTTATCTAATCAAGATCCAGGGGTTCTAGTTTGAATTAAAATGCAGAACACATCACATTTAGTACTTTATTTGTAACATTTAGAAATCTGGTTTATGTGTGTGTATGTCAACTATGTCTGTAGAGAGATTAGTTGAGATGCATAGTAGATTAAGATGTGAACTTTACCTCATTGACTTTTTGACCTTCTCAGACAGAGAAGTTTTAGAGTCAGACTTTTCTGCCATCTCATCCACTGCTCCTTCATCCAGGATCTTCCTGTGCATGCTGTAGCCCATTCGTCTCCTTTCTGCCATAGCTAAAACTGTAACATAAAAGAAAAAAACTAGCTTCTTTACTTTTGAAATGCTGGGTTTGTTTGGTAAAAAAAACAAAAACTGATTCTAATTCCTTATATATTTTTTTAAATTATATATAAAAATAAAAGACATTATATTTTCAACAGTGTTTCCATTTTGTTATGATACACCTTTCACAGCAGCCATTTTGACATGAAATAGTAGGGTAAAAACAGGTATTACTGCTGATACTAATTACAGTTTTGTTCCATTCAGGTCAAACAGACTGAGGGTGCCATTGTTCATGTTGGCTCACTAGAAAGCGACTGCTACACGAAATGGAACTCAATCTTAATTAGTATCATTGATAACACCTGTGTTTACCCTACTATATTATGTCAAAATGGCTGCTGTGAAAAAAGTTCTTATTTAAAATACTGTTCTGGCACAATAACTGATGATTCATGTAAATTCAAGTCCTGATGGCAGTCCCTCTGGGACTGAGCTGTTGATCTGCACATAGGAGAAACAGTTTGAAACTTTGGATAATAATTACCTTGTGTGCTCCAGCAGTATCTGAGTAAATGTTTTATAATGTCTTGATTTGTTTGCGTCTTTTACAAAAAGCGTAGAATGTAGTGAAGACCTGAGATGAACCACGGAAGTTAGAGTATGTTTTCAGTAATGTAATGTTTTGTCTTCTATGCTGTCATCTTTTATTCGTTTATCCAGTTCAGAGGAAATAGATCCAACTCCAGGTCCATCTATGGTCAGGGTTCTAATGAAAATATTCCACCTAAATGAAAAAAAAAAAAGTTCCTTCACTTATAAGATGGCATGTCCCTCTTCCCTCTTTAAGAAGAATTAATCCTTCCAGTGTGCACTGGTCCCCAGGCTTCAAATTAAATCCGTGTAGAATTTTCTTTCAGATCCAAGTGTAAAAAGTAATGTAAAATCCACAACAGACAGGATTTTCTAATCAAACATACAAGAACAAACACCCTTAATATATACTGTTTCCTCTTTCTTCTCTGTCTCCTCTCTGTCTCAGGGTGAGACGATTATCTGTGTTGTGGCTCCACTGCTGTGTCTTGAGACCTTGAAGAGAAATCTAGATATGACACTGCACATTGTCATGGAGAGAGAGGGCAAAGTTCCAAACTGAATGTGCAGTTGTATTAGTGTTAACAGAAGTGGTAGAAATTAGACATGACCATACAATAGTTACTTACTATAGAGTGAGTTAGTTCACTGAGTTTGTAGTTATTTTTATGACTTTTTAATTTACAGTTTGTCACCTTTTGCCTTTGAAACCAACATACAATACATGTGACTTTGACTTACAGGTATACACAGCATGCCATATGCACACATGGGGAAACTAAACAAAGCAGAGTTCAGACCAAATTGTGACAAATACAATAATATATTAACTCTACTTTAGACAAAGTTTTAGATGTGTCGTATCTGTGTGTTTTATGTCTTATCTTGTATCTATGTAAGATTAGATTAGTCAGCCATTTCAGCTCAGTCAGGGTTGTTCTTGTTAATTTATGATTAATCCACAGAAGAGTGAATAGAAGGCCAGCTTTATCTTTGGAAGAACAGATACTGGTTAACTAAGCAGAACAAACAATATGCTTTCTGAAAGACGGTGTGTTTCATAGATGGCTCTACAAGCACTGATCTTTTCATTACTTGTTCGCACTGCGCATTTCGTTCCTCCCAGTGAATCTAAGTGCTGAAACTGTCAAGACACATCTCCTTGGACTTCCTTTTACAGAACAGCAATTTTTTTCCACTGTTAAATTGGCTACGCTGTAGGTTTAACTCCCCCCAGCTAGCCTGTCTCTTCCTCTGCTTTCTAAATCCACATATGTAGTCATTCTGAAGTAGTAGTCTTATTGACTTGTATTATTTAGTCTGATGTCAGATGTTGTTGCAATATCAAGGGAGTCACAAACTGTGTGACTTTCTACTGACATGCTAACATTAGCTCACTTTGTTATTCTGAAGCCCCTCAGGTGTGTTTTGTGTGTGTTGCTGCTTAATATGAACTCACGTCATAGATGTAAATTCATTGATAGAGCTACTATGAAAGAGAGGAATTCATTAGGCTGTGTAACTTTGATAAGAATTGAGCAACTGTAGTTACATCTTTGGGTAACTTTTCATTACTGAGCCAAACATTGGTAATCCTAGAAATCCAGTATCATGAAGCTGGTCGTCAACTGGAGCTGTTAACCCAGGGTTTTCCAGTCCATCTGCGAACACCCTCACTTTAATGAGTCAGAGCTGGTAATTACGAGCCACTTTGTGCCACAACTGAACTCTTCAATTTGATGCCTTTCAAGCGGCAAAGGACCCGTAAGCAAGGAACTGTGCATAGGAGTCCCAAATGCAGTCGCTGACAGCAGAGTGGCGCAGCGGAAGCGTGCTGGGCCCATAACCCAGAGGTCGATGGATCGAAACCATCCTCTGCTATCGGTGCTTTACTGGCAGGACGTTGACAGGCTGACATGTATTAAACCCATGTTTGAAGTCGCTTTCAACGTCTCAACAGTACAGTCCAGCCCAAGATAATGATCCTTGCCCTGTGGCATCTATCACCAAGTGAGTTCAATTGAGTCTGCCTAGACTGAGCCTAACTGCAATCGAGGAGCTCCTCCTCCTTGTTAATTTCTTAACCATCTTTGAACCCAAGTGACGGAATCAATCCGTGTCAATCAATCTTTTGGACACATTTTGGCACACTTTTTCTGCTGTTCCCCTTTATGTCAAAGCTTTACTCTGTGTCCACCTCTCTCACCTCTCTGCCCCTCCTCTTTCTGTTTTTTTCTTACAGTGCCACAGTAGCGTCAGGGGCCATTGTCATGTTATACAAAGCCACACATTGTGCAGCTTCCCATGTTTTTGCGTTGCAGTGGAACTCACTGTATGTCTTTACAACTGCCTGTCGTTTTTAGGCCCATCGAGCCCCAGTGGCCTAATGGATAAGGCACTGGCCTCCTAAGCCAGGGATTGTGGGTTCGAGTCCCATCTGGGGTGCTTTACAGCAGAGTGGCGCAGCGGAAGCGTCCTGGGCCCATAACCCAGAGGTCGATGGATCGAAACCATCCTCTGCTATTAGTTATTGGTGCTTTACTGGCAGGACGTTGACAGCATGGCATGTATTAAACATATGTTTGAAGTTACTTTCAACGTTTCAACAGCACAGTCCAGCCCAAGATAATGATCCTCATCCTGTGGAGACATCATGGGTTCAATTGAGTATGGCTTGACTGAGCCTAACTGCAATCAAGAAGCTCCTCCTTGTCAATTTCTTAACCATCTTTGAGCCCAAACCCCTGTCTCTTCCTCTGCTCTCTAAAAAACACATTTGTAGTCCTTCTGAATGGGTCAAGTAATCAGAGTTAATGATTCCCAAGCGACTACATGCCATTCCGACTCTCCTTTGGTTACTTGGCTTCACTGAGCCTGACTGACTCGTTTACAGGTATGTATTGAACCCATGTTTGAAGTGGCTTTCAACGGCTCAACAGTGGATTCCTGCCAGAGGTAATGATCCTCGTGGCCTCTATCACCAAGTGGGTTCAATTGAGTGTGACCGGAATCAAGAAGCTGGACGTTAACTGGCTCTGGTAACTCTATCACCAAGCGGGTTCAATTGAGTCTTACCGGAATCAAGAAGCTGGTTGTTCACTGAGTTTGACATACATCTTTGGGTGACTTGCCTTTACTGAGCCCAACACTGGTAATCCTAGAAATCCAGTATCATGAAGCTGGTCGTCAACTGGAGCTGTTAACCCTGGGTTTTCCAGTCCATCTGCTAACACCCTCACGTTAATGAGTCAGAGCTGGTAATTACGAGCCACTTTGTGCCACAACTGAACTCTTCAATTTGATGCCTTTCAAGCGGCAGAGGACCCGTAAGCAAGGAACTGTGCATAGGAGTCCCAAATGCAGTCGCTGACAGCAGAGTGGCGCAGCGGAAGCGTGCTGGGCCCATAACCCAGAGGTCGATGGATCGAAACCATCCTCTGCTATCGGTGCTTTACTGGCAGGACGTTGACAGGATGACATGTATTAAACCCATGTTTGAAGTCGCTTTCAACGTCTCAACAGTACAGTCCAGCCCAAGATAATGATCCTTGCCCTGTGGCATCTATCACCAAGTGAGTTCAATTGAGTCTGCCTAGACTGAGCCTAACTGCAATTGAGGAGCTGCTCCTCCTCCTTGTTAATTTCTTAACCATCTTTGAACCCAAGTGACGGAATCAATCCGTGTCAATCAATCTTTTGGACACATTTTGGCACACTTTTTCTGCTGTTCCCCTTTATGTCAAAGCTTTACTCTGTGTCCACCTCTCTCACCTCTCTGCCCCTCCTCTTTCTGTTTTTTCTTACACTGCCACAGTAGCGTCAGGGGCCATTGTCATGTTATACAAAGCCACACATTGTGCAGCTTCCTATGTTTTTGCGTTGCAGTGGAACTCACTGTGTGTCTTTACAACTGCCTGTCGTTTTTAGGCCCATCGAGCCCCAGTGGCCTAATGGATAAGGCACTGGCCTCCTAAGCCAGGGATTGTGGGTTCGAGTCCCATCTGGGGTGCTTTACAGCAGAGTGGCGCAGCGGAAGCGTGCTGGGCCCATAACCCAGAGGTCGATGGATCGAAACCATCCTCTGCTATTAGTTATTGGTGCTTTACTGGCAGGACGTTGACAGCATGGCATGTATTAAACATATGTTTGAAGTTACTTTCAACGTTTCAACAGCACAGTCCAGCCCAAGATAATGATCCTCATCCTGTGGAGACATCATGGGTTCAATTGAGTATGGCTTGACTGAGCCTAACTGCAATCAAGAAGCTCCTCCTTGTCAATTTCTTAACCATCTTTGAGCCCAAACCCCTGTCTCTTCCTCTGCTCTCTAAAAAACACATTTGTAGTCCTTCTGAATGGGTCAAGTAATCAGAGTTAATGATTCCCAAGCGACTACATGCCATTCCGACTCTCCTTTGGTTACTTGGCTTCACTGAGCCTGACTGACTCGTTTACAGGTATGTATTGAACCCATGTTTGAAGTGGCTTTCAACGGCTCAACAGTGGATTCCTGCCAGAGTTAATGATCCTCGTGGCCTCTATCACCAAGTGGGTTCAATTGAGTGTGACCGGAATCAAGAAGCTGGACGTTAACTGGCTCTGGTAACTCTATCACCAAGCGGGTTCAATTGAGTCTTACCGGAATCAAGAAGCTGGTTGTTCACTGAGTTTGACATACATCTTTGGGTGACTTGCCTTTACTGAGCCCAACATTGGTAATCCTAGAAATCCAGTATCATGAAGCTGGTCGTCAACTGGAGCTGTTAACCCTGGGTTTTCCAGTCCATCTGCGAACACCCTCACGTTAATGAGTCAGAGCTGGTAATTACGAGCCACTTTGTGCCACAACTGAACTCTTCAATTTGATGCCTTTCAAGCGGCAGAGGACCCGTAAGCAAGGAACTGTGCATAGGAGTCCCAAATGCAGTCACTGACAGCAGAGTGGCGCAGCGGAAGCGTGCTGGGCCCATAACCCAGAGGTCGATGGATCGAAACCATCCTCTGCTATCGGTGCTTTACTGGCAGGACATTGACAGGATGACATGTATTAAACCCATGTTTGAAGTCGCTTTCAACGTCTCAACAGTACAGTCCAGCCCAAGATAATGATCCTTGCCCTGTGGCATCTATCACCAAGTGAGTTCAATTGAGTCTGCCTAGACTGAGCCTAACTGCAATTGAGGAGCTGCTCCTCCTCCTTGTTAATTTCTTAACCATCTTTGAACCCAAGTGACGGAATCAATCCGTGTCAATCAATCTTTTGGACACATTTTGGCACACTTTTTCTGCTGTTCCCCTTTATGTCAAAGCTTTACTCTGTGTCCACCTCTCTCACCTCTCTGCCCCTCCTCTTTCTGTTTTTTCTTACAGAGCCACAGTAGCGTCAGGGGCCATTGTCATGTTATACAAAGCCACACATTGTGCAGCTTCCCATGTTTTTGCGTTGCAGTGGAACTCACTGTATGTCTTTACAACTGCCTGTCGTTTTT